GGGCATTTGCGCAACAATTCCTTAAACCTCTCCCATGCCTCATACAAAGATTCCCCCTCATGTTGCTGAAATCCGGTGATGTCATTTCTAAGCTTAGCATTCTTAGTTGGAGGAAAATACTTCATCAAAAACTTCTGTGCCATGTGATTCCAAGTCGCTATAAAGTCTGGTGGTAGAGAGTTTAACCATGCCCTAGCTCTATCCCTTAAGGAATAAGGGAAGAGCTTCAGTCTTAAAGCTTCTTCTGTAACCCCTGGAAGCTAAAAAGTATCACAGACTTCCATGAATAGCCTGAGATGCAAGTAGGGATCTTTAGTTGCCATGCCATTGAATTGGCCTAATGTTTACAACATTTGAAACATGATCAGTTTAAGCTCAAACTGAGGCACCTGCATCTCTGGCCTAATGATGCTCGAATTAAGCCCATGTAAAATCGGAATGGCATATTCTCTGATGGCCCTATCCCAGTCATCTACCATGGCTGTCTGGTTAACTAGATTATTAACATTTACAGGCTGCCCAAGGTTGACTGCATTGCCAGCAGCTTCCTCTGCCATTCCTTCAAGAACTGCTAAACCTTACTGCTCCCTTCTCCTTGCTAGGAACGTTCTTTCAATTTCTGGATCCAAGGGCAGCAAATCACTGTCTTGTTGTCGATTCATGCGAGAATAAGAGTATCTAAAATAAAAGAAAATAAAATTGACAAGTAAAATAACAGAAACACTTGAATTTCACAAAGATCAATAATGATAACTGTCCCCAGCAGCGGCGCCAAAAACTTGTTGGTGTAAAATTAACTACGCAAGAGCACCTACTAAACAAGTAATAAAGTGAATGAGTAGAGTATCATTCTCATGGAGAAAGTTATCAATATTTTTTCTAATAAGATTCAAGAGATGCAATATAAACAAATTTAATGGTTTGATTCAACTACAAGACTAAAAGAATTGCATAAAATAGAAGTAAATAAACGGATACTCAGTTATCAAAGGTGAAAATCAATCTATGTGAAGGACTGGGACCCAATTTGCCCTTCACAGCAACATGGGCTATTTATGCTACGACTTTTACTACAATAATGCTATCAGTTAACCTGAAACACAAATTTAACACAAGAATCTCCCGATCTACTTGTGATTTCACCTCTTTACTCACATGTCAACATATTCCTATGAGAAATCTAAGCAAAGAGGTTAATTTAAGTATAGGTTTCAATTGGGCTATGTGAGACAAGTGTATATTCCTATACTACTCGCAAATCAACTAGATTTCTTTGTGAAATTTAGCTAACAACACATTGTTCAATAATTGTCTAATTCCAATCAACTTTCTAGCAAATCGAACTCATAGTATTTTATTTATGATGGTCAATCAATAAATAAAAATGAATGATAACGATTATATTAAACAAACTAGATCAACATTAATGTAGCAAAAGTGAGCATACACAATGTTAATTACAGATCCGAGTACTTTATCATCCCAGCCAGTTAATTTAGCTCATACTTGTTCTGTTAATTTCAACAAAATAAACAGCCATGATTTGAATACAGAGGAAGAGGAAAGATAAACCAAAATGAGGTGAACAACAGTAAAGACAAGATGAAGCTTGGTGGTCTCCTCTCGTGGCTTCACTCCTTGAGATTTCCAGCTCCAAATTTGTCTCCTCCGTACTTGTCTTCCTTTCTTTCTTTCTCTCTGGTTTTCTTTTTGCTCCCTGCTGCCTATTTCTTACTTGGGTCCTCTTTCTATTTTCTCCTTTCGCTTGCCACTGTTGAGAATTCAGGTGCATTCCTCTTTAGGGTAACCAAGGACGCTGAGGTGGCTCCTTCTCAGAGGTTGGGTCCAGCTGACTCAACACCAAATCCGTCTTCTGTGCTCTTTGTCCTAATTCTCGTGCAAAGTTATGTGCTGACGTCATCTACTAACTACATGCTGTCATATTTTTATTGTAGCAAATACTGCAACATTTATCCTCACGAACCAAAAGTTGAGCAAATAAAGTAGAAAATTAACAGCTAAACCTTTGGATGAGCCAACTATAAACCTAGAAATGCCTAAAATAACTCTAATTCCTAGAGTTAGCACTAATACATGAATATTGTCGTCGCTAAAAATTCACACGTCATCGCAAATATGTAGTTGGCAGCAAATGTTGTGTGGCACCAACGTTAGCCGCCAAAATAACATTATTTGTGATGGCAAGCGTCGAAAGTAATTTAGTATTTGCGATGACATAAGTCATTGCAAAAAATAATTCATTTATTTATTGTCCTCCGAGTAAAAAGGGGTCATTTTGGCAGTTTTCAAAATTTATTTACGACGACATTAATATGTGTCGTCGTAAATACTAATTTTGTATTCCCTCGCTAAAATAAACGGCAGAAAAATTGGCCGGTTTCTCAAAAATTATTTACGATGACGTTAATATATGTCGTCGCAAATAATAATTCCAGAACCTTCGTTATTAATATTAAATATTAAAGATTGCGATGAAGGATTTTTTTTCGCTCTTACGTATGAGTTGTTTATCCTATACAACCAGCCTACACTATATCAATAGACCTTAGGACATCAATCTTGTCAAAGATTGATCCTATGGTACATAACATGCACGACTAGTAGTACATATAAGCTGAACCTGCTACAACTTTCCCCCTTATTTTTGAGAAATTGTAGTAAATAATAGATTTTTGAAACTACATTAAGTAAATAGCATATTTTAAAACTATTTGAGCTCAATAGCAGTTTACATCTTAAATGATTCATTTACACTCTACATTATAAACGATTCATTTACGAATGGTAAAAGAGTAATTTACGTGGTAAAAATCGTAAAAAATCTTTATTTGTGTGGAAATTTTTTTTTTTAACTATTGTAACAAGAAAATCTACATGAAAAAATATTTTTACTAATTGTAAATGAGCCATTTAAGTAGTAAATGATTCATTTACCACATAAGTTGCTATTTAATTCAATTAGTTTTAAAATATGCTATTTACTTTATTTAGTTTCTTAAATTTGCTACAACCTTCTCCCAACCGTACTACAACTTTTGTCTTTATTTTCTTAAAAAAGATTAATTTTCAGCAAAATTTATGGCCGGACATGCATTTTTGCTTCGCTTGAAGCCTTTTATATTATAGCAGTTGGATTAGCTTTTTAACATTTTGATTTAGAGTATGAGTAGTTCAAGACCAAGAATGAAATGCTCTCTCATCTTCGTCACCGCCATCTCGTCTCTCTACACTACAATAAAAATGGTCATTTGTGGCGATGCCATGTCATCACAAATAACTAATATGTCATCACAAATATTGTATTTTTGACGACATGTCGTCGTAACTTAGTCGTCACAAAAAATATGTCGCAACTAATATATTTGTGACGACATAGTTTTGAAATGTCGTCGCAAATATATTAGCAACGACAGTCGTCATGAATAAGTCGTCACGAATGTTCTATCGAATATGTCATTGATGATGACGTGTCATAACGTATTTGTGATGACATAGTGTCGTCACAAAAGTCTTTAAACCTTTTACGACTAAACCGTCGTCGCTAGTAATGTGAATTATTTGCGACGACACTTTAGATATGTCATCGCAAATAGTATTTTCTTTTTTTTCAGTACTTTCCTAATAATATTAATTAATAAAAATACAAATTTGAAGAAAATTTAATAATAAAATAGAATAATATAATTGATATAAAATAGCCAACACAATAATAAAATAAGTCTTAAAAAGTAAATTAATCAAGAAAAACTAAAAAGTATTGATAATAAGAAAAATAACAAGAGATATTTTAATCTCCTAAATTAGCAAGATCGTCGTCCTCATCCTCATTCTCATCCTCGTCTTCTTAGTTTCACTCAGGCGGCGGAGGAACCAACGGTTGGGGACGGTTAACTGGCAAGAAGTTGATGTTGGGATTCATCGAGCTCATGACATCCATCATGATCTACTGGTTGTCGAACATGTTTCATTGGTCCATGTAGAGGTTGTTCAGCCAGTTTTGGACATGCTGGGGCAAATTAACCGAAGATGACTAGTCCGATTGTGAAGCAGATGATGAGGTGGAAGCGCTTGAACGATTCCTTCGTGGTAGTGTCAGTACCACTCCCTCAATCTGTCCTCTGCGCTTGCACAAGACTTGGGACATAATCTCCTCCTTATTGATCGACGTGGATGAACCTTCGCCAGCAGACTGTGTAATGTGCGTGGTTCTTTCCCCTTCCATCTGAGCCTGCAAAGATAAATGAAATAATAATGAATAAAAATAATATAATATATTATGTTAAATATGAAAAAAGAAATAAGTTTAAAATTTACTTACAAATGTATGTTCTGCGTCTGAATTGATAAAATTATGCCCATGATGGTGCACGTCACCCCAATTGTCAATTAATGATCTTAGCTACTGGGTCTCGGAATTTGCCTAATCAAGTTGAACGTGTTAGAATAATTAAATGAAATAATTATGCCTAATCAAGATGTCAGCTCCAAAACTGTAAGAAAATAAAAATAATGAAATTTGATTATAGAGAGTTCGACAGTAACAAGTTTTGGGAGTATGTGTTATAGCGTATAATACCTGGCTGACAATGTGCCGAGAGTCTTGTCAGATCAAGTGGAGGCTGTGATCCTCCTGCAGAGCCGACGCATGTAGCTATTGGGCCAGACATCGAGATGCTATATCCACTACAAGAAAATAGGCTTTTCATAGTGGTTAGTTATAGCGTTTTTCAAAAAACGTTACTGTGCCTATATATAATAGCGTTTAAAAATAGTTATAATATATTTATATATAAAAATTAAAATTTCATGAGATTTTGACAGGTTTATTTTATACATGTTTAATAATATATAAATGTACCGCATTAAAATAACAACAGGCGGGCATTTGAAATAATTTCCCTAATTTTCCCGCTCATCCTCCCTCTTTTTTTCTATTTGGGTCATCTGATTTTGCTTGATTTTGCTTCTTCCTTATGCGAACAAGGAAAGGAAAAAATAAAAATAAAAACTCCTTCCCCCACTCTGTCGAACAAACCACGCTCCACCACTTCTCTTTCCCCAAAATTCCGTAAGCTTCCTCTGGATTTGCTCTGAAATTGAAGGCCGGTGTTAGGTTCAGTCATATATCCAACTTTCTCCCAAATGCCCTAATTCAGTCATATTTCCAACTTTCCCCCAAATGCCCTAATTTTCCAGTCTATCTCACGGGAAGAATGTCATGGTTTCTGGTTTTGTGAAGATTGGGTTGCGGAAAGAAGATCGAAGATGATCTCCACGTGAAGCTCTCTTCCTATGCGAAGCTCGGAGCTAGGTTTACCGGCCAAGGAGGTTCGAATCTCTCTCTCTCTCTCTCTCTCTTTTTCTCTCTCTGTTCTCTAGGTTTACCCAGAGAGAAATCCTCTCTCTCTCTCTCTGCATTTTCGCTCCCAAAGGTGTAGTGCTCTTGTTCTTCTTCTTTTCTTTTTTGGTTTTCAAATTCAACTAAAATCTTACGAAATGAAAATTTGCATTCCTTTTTGGCTGATTCATTGTAGTTTGTTGAAGCTATTATTAGTATACGAGTTGGCTCGAAGGTATCACTTGATCATATACAATTTTATTATGTGAATTTTTTTTTTCCGATTTGTGCTTTAATTTCTTTCTTGTTCTTTTTCTCTTTTTTTTGGGTGATTGTATCCCGACGAGTCACCTTAGATTAATCTTATAGAGTTAAAGGGTCTTGATCAACAAAGGCAAAAGCTTTTAGTGACTCACATCCGAGACAAAGCGAGTGAACTATCTTCTTGTTTAATGCTCGTGGCTCTTTGTGAGGTAAACTCATTTCTGTCATTGGAATTTGACTTGGGAAATCATTT